CACCCTCCCTGTACACCATACAGTTCCCCCTGCTGCCCCCACGTCTGTAATGTTGCCAGCTTCCCTCCTCTCATTCCCATCGGCAGCTGCAAGCATACAATAGGATCCTTCAGAATGGAGAGTGGGGGAAGGGTCTGGTAAATATGTCACATTTACCAGCCCCTTCCTTTCCTGAATGAACACAATGAGTGATTGGTACCAATGAATGGGGCCCCGTGGTTTTGGGGGCCCTGTCAGGTTGGTTGTATAGGGTCCCGTGGTTTCTAACAGCTGCCCTGAGTGCAGATCACATGTTAACATTTTCTTGTCCTATATGACATAATTTTTTCAATAATAACCACAAAACAAATTATAACACTGATCATAAAATAAACTCAGACTGTGAATATTATAGTATCCCTTTATATTGGCAGTCAATCTAGAAGTGTCCTCTTGCACTGGTGGTCAGTGGAGAAATGCCTACTTACAATAGTGGTAAGGATTAGTGGCCCCTTACACTGGTAGTTGGTCAGTGGGAGAGGTGCCCCCCTATATTGGTTGTAAGTGTAGTTTCTCCATATATTGGTGACGAATAAATAAATGTCCCTTTACATTGGCGGTAAGTGGAAAGGTGTCCCCTTACATTGATGGTCATTGCAGATCTCCCTTACTTGGGAGGTCAGTGGTAGAGGTGCCCCCTACACTGGTAGTCAGGGGGAAGAATGTCCTGTTATAGACAGGAAAAATGATTATTAGTGTCAATGGTTACTTCCCTGAGAGACAAAAGCAGAGGCTTCACTGGTCCCAAACATGTAGCTGGCTCTACTGAGTGACACTGGGGTCAAAATTATGAAAGCACCAGAAGATCAGTTTGCCACTGCTTTACCAATCTCTGGAGGAATCCTAGTTGGGAAAGGCTGATCTAGACTGTTTTGAAACAATGTTTAGCAAAAAATAATAATAATAACTAATAATATGAAAGGTAATTTAATTATAATTTGCTGAAGGCTATCTTAAAAAATACATTGTACCCATTTTGATTCCCACTCTTTTCCTAATTAAGACATGTGGCAAATACACTATCTATTTAATAGGGGAAAAACAGGGTTCATTCACCAGCTCAGAAAAGCTTGTCTTTGTGTACTCAGGATAAAGAATTCTCTATCAAGGGATAAGCTGATAGTATACTGGCTAAAGTAAAGCAAGCCTTCTATTGGTCCTGAATGGATAGAATGTAAGCTAGGAAGGTCAACCTCTCTATTATATTACTATTTCATTGTGCATTGATTTTTGTACAAAAATAACGTGAAAAATATATTCTACTACTAAAACTATATGTTCCCTTTATATTGATAGTATCAATGTTATGCTTTTTAATACTCACATATTATTTATTTATACTTACCTTTAATTAAAGTAAGAATTTGGCCCATCAAACTAGCTCAAATGTTTATTCATTATAAGAGCCAACCAAAATGAAAATGTAATCTCTTGGACCCTGTAATAAGATAAATACCCATATATTTTGCAGTGTTTTCAGTTCTATAATAGTTGTCTGAGTATTGCCATAAAATTAATCACTGAGGACTGTCAAAGATGGATATCCTGCCAGGTAGGAATATAGTGTTATATAGCACTGTGTATGCATACTGCCCAAGTGTCATGCTGCTTTATCTAATAGATTTACAGTAACTTGTGCTTCACACTGCAGACTACATGGAAAAATCATTAGGTTCCCCTTGACAGTTGTGACAAAGCTGTGTATGGAAGCTGCTGCTTGCATATTTAGAATACATTTTTCCATGCTCATGCAGTGATTTTGCATGGTGGTTTGATGCAGCTCTCAAGCCTAGTAGTCCACAGAATTGATTATTGCCCTGGGCTCTTCAAAAGGGGCCAATATGACTTGCTTTGGTGGTATAACTGAAATGATCTCTGCCGGATCAGGGGAGGAAATAGTGGTTATACGTTCATCCCTGTCTTCATATAGAGTATTAATATGGAGCAAAGGATGAGTGGGGTTGCGGTTGAAGATAGTCATGGGCTCAGGCTTGACCTGACTGAGGGTAACACTTGATGTTGAGACTGCAGCGCTCATCATGTGACCTCCGCATGTGAGAAATGTCGCAGAGACATTACCACAACTTTCAGATAATGGCTGATTTTCTTTCTCAATTACTTTTGCAGATTTTGAAGTATCTGTTATGAAAGAAAGGAAAAGTTAGAATCCACCAAATATATAAAAAATAGAGCTGTAAAGAGCAATTCCAAGGCATGCATACAGAGAGTTCACTGAATTTACCTTGAGTAATCTGAGTTCTGCATAATATCCTGCAAAAAAAAGCACATACTGACCCACAAAAAGGTCAGAAGGTAGTGGAAAAGTTTTAGTGAACTCCCTAAAACTTGTGAAGTGCTGCCCTTTTTTGGTGTTTATTTACTAAAGGCAAATGCACTGCTCACTTTGCACAGGAATTTTGTCCAGAGCTTAGTGAATGTGGTGAAATCTTGCTTTACAAAGGATACCCAATCACATGCAAGAAAACAGAAAAAAACAGCATTTTTGCTTGCGCATGATTGGGTGATAAAAGTCAGCAGAGCTTCATCTCATTCAATAAAATCTGGGAATAACTCCCATGCAGAGTAATCTGCATGTGCAAAGTGAACAGTCTATTTGCTTTTAACCTCCCTAGCGGTCTGATTATGTCCATATTTCTCTGCTCAAAGCGGTAAATTTTTTTGCATGGAAATATGTATTTTTTTTTATTGTAGGCCTGTAATTTTTAGGAATAACTCACTGAAATCTGTCCGAACAAGAGTCTAGTAAACATCCTGGGTATGTTACAATTTGAAACACGAAATCATAAATAATATAATTTAATAAATAATCATAAAAAATAATAATATAATAACAATAAATTCAATTCAATAATATAATCAAACCAAAAACACAGAAATTTTAAATATAGCGCCAAGTTTGCACATCACTGAGCAAAGTCGCAAAATTGTTTTCAGTGTCTGATGACGAATTTCCCCACGAATCATTATCACTCAATTCTGCAAGTGGTTCTAATTTACTATCGCTGTTCTCTAGCTGGTCTAAAACTGCTTTTGACCTAAAGGGACGCTTTTTGGACGCCATGGACATTTCTTAGTTTCCAGGCAGAACGAACAGTAAAAATGCAGGCAGGGCACAGGACAAAGCACTAGGGACAAAATGTATGTGAAATGCTTTGATACAGTAATGTTTTACTATGTGATTTTAGTGTATTTAGTGAATGTCACTTTTTGTCATTTTCAAATTTCCCGCCACTCCATCCCCGTACATCCCGACACTCGCAGGGGACGGAACCCAGATGACATATGCTGGCATCCGCCGGAGGACATTGCCGGGGACACTGCACGAGGGACATCATGGGAGCGCAGGACAAGGTAAGAGAAGAACAGATTCCGGAGCAGCGCCGCATGGTAAGCCCGAGTGTAGTTTGGGGTTACCGCATGTGGTACTGAAACTTTACCCCGAGCTACACTCGGGAATACCGCCAGGGAGGTTAATAAATCTACACCTTTATGTCTCTTCTACCACTAACCACATTTAAACTTATAAGGTGAGTTTGAATTTGATTGGTGGTTGTAAGGAAATTTAAAGTAATGCTTTTCAATATTTTAGAAGCAGCAAAGAGAATGTTCAAACATCATTACCAGGTACATTCCAGGATCTCCAGTTAAAAGTGGGCAGCATGGACTGAGAGCTAGGTCTACATAAAAAAACAAACTACTCTACAAGTAGGCTTTGCTAACTCTATGCATTTCAAGGTTTAGTTTGCAAGGCAGCTATGTTGGCATCGATATATACGCTCATGACTCATTACTGTATAGAAGCAGCCTTAATGACAGTTGAGTTTGGCAAAGGCATCCTGGCTTTTGCTTTTAGCTAGAATTAAAGTGGAGTTCCACTCAAAAGCGGAAGCTCTGCTTATTTGCCTCCCCCCCTCCACTGGCATATTTGGCACCTTTTGGTGAGGAGGGGGGAGCTGGTACCTGTTTTTGCCAGGTAGCCGCTCCCACTTCTGGCTCAGTTCGCTGTGGCGAAGTGACCAGAAGTCCGGCCCCCTCCTCCCTCCTGCAGTTTCCTGGGAACTTTCACAGGTTCCAGGAGACTGCTGGACCAATTAGGAAGCGCAGCGGGCACCAGGCTGTGAAGCCGCAAGCTGTCACAACCTGGTGCCCACAGTTGAGATGCCGGCGCCGTGTAGGAGAGAAGTAACAGCACAGGTGAGAACATTGCTGGACTCTGGGACAGGTACGTGTTTGTTTATTAAAAGTCGGCAGCTACAGTTTTTGTAGCTGCTGACTTTTAATAAACACAAAAATGGCTATAACTCTGCTTTAAGGAGTTTTGTAGCATTATCCCTCCCTGTGTTTTCTTTTAATTTTACTTCCAATGATAATGGTAAACATTACAAATAGCAGCAAAAAAAAACCTGACAGGTGTTCCAATCCACCTCCACTCTGTCCAAAACTAAAATAAAAGTTTTTCTATTAGTTATACTTTGATCTTATTCCATAGGAAAACTGAGAACTGTGTCTACTGTCAGGTCTAATAAAGCAAGCCATAATGGTCAGGTCAGATCTATGCCTTTTCTTATTATTCTTGAGAACTAATTGAATGATTGCATGAGGATGGTACAGAACTCCTAAAAGTTTGTGTTCTGCTATATTATTGCTGGCTTCAAATAATGTTGAAGTGCAGTTAGTCAGCACTGTTGATATGTGATTATTCATTCATTATGTTCTCAGTCACTACATGGTTGTGAACAAGCCAAATCTGCACCTAAAGACTATCACAGGCTTTAGCTAGGCAGACCAGGAGAGAAGATCTCCATTCATTTATAAAAAAAAAAATCTTACCTTTTACATGTGCAGTCACACTATCTTCCTGACTTGGGAAACCATTCTCTTGGCTTTCAGACATGGCTATTGGAGCACTCTCCTGTGTCTCTGACTTGGTTTTTTTGCTACTAAGAATATATGGTTGGACATCTAATGAGAAATGTCGAGCATGTTTTTTTCTCACCAATAATGCTTGGAATTGTACTACTGTCACATTTTTGAGATGAATGAGGTGAAGATTTAGAAGAAGCCTCCAGAAGTGGAGCTATTAAAGTGTCTGTTGCAGTTTTCCTTCTCATTGGCTTTGGCTTCTCCGGTTTACTATTTTCAATTTTCATTATGGCTAATTGTTCCTTAAAGGGTTGGGGTAGAGGATTGCTACTGGGGATCCACTTCATTTTCTTTCTGGGTCGCTTTATAACAAGCTGTTCATTGACATCAATATCTGCTGGGTCAACACTTGGGTCAACTGTCTGGATACCAGAGTCCCTCATGGTGGGAGTGGCATCATAATTAGACTGTGCTAATGCTGCAAGTAATTGACGAACCACATTGTCATACATTAGGTCACTCTCATTGGTAATAAAATCTAGACGATTTAAGGATTTGATATGATCACGATTTTCATTGCAAAACATGGCAAGGATATTTATATCACAAAACTGGGATTTCTGCCACTGCTTTTTAGTCTTTATGCCAACTTTATTTAATTTATCAAAAATGAAGTTGGACTTTCGGACGATGAAGAGATGTATTAAGTTGACAAGAATGATTAAATTCATAAAACTAAGTAGAAAAATATCTACTGAAGCAATGATTCTTTGGAGTTGAACAGATGGCAATTTGCAGTTTACCCTTATATGCAACTTTGAGTTACTGGTTTTAAGATGAGGCTCTCCCAACGCACAGGTGAATTCATTCTGCTTCTGAGTTGCATAATATGTGCTTAGATAAGTAATAGGTATGATGCTTAAACATATGATGAGCAAATGTCTGGCTAAGTATAGTTTGGCTAAAAAGTTACTGCGACCTCTTCTTTCCAGGTACTTTTCAAATAGGTTTTGTTCAGGGCTTTTTTCCTTTTCTGCATTCTCTATGATTTCTCTCTTCTCTTTTTCTGTAATGCCAGGACCTTTTGACTGAATTTGCTTTTCAATTTTGGGAGCACGACCTTCTGCTGCTCTATGATAACAATTGTCGATTTCTTGAAGCAAGAAGTTCAGCTCTGAAGTCAATCTAGTTGAAGCTAGGAACTCCCATCCCAGAGCAGGAATATACATGATTCCAGCAAAGGCCAGAAGAGCATATGGGAGAAATTTGTGCTCAAACAATGAAGGCCACTGACTGGCATTCACCCCTGGTAAAGCATCCTTAAGTTCTGTCCAGCAATATCCTCTGGCGTACAAGGCTTGATCCCGGGTGAAGTTGTGAGGTGTATAGCAGTATATAGGCTCCTCTGTATAACAGAGAGAAAAGTCACTGCTGTGGGGTTAACCTAAAAAGAAGCTCTGAAAAATAAATACATTTGAAGTGATAGAATGTTAAGTATATTGGCTAGACAAATGTCACATTCCCTTTACAGCATGTATAACAATACCACAAAGGTAGGCAAGACACAGTTATGTATTAGCCAAAGTAAAAATGAGTAAAAGCCAAAAAATTATGCATCTTACACACTGGGCATTCTGCTGCATTTGAAGGGACAGGCATAGTACACATGTGAAATACAGTGCCTTGAAAAAGTATTCATACCCCTTGAAATTTTCCACATTTTGTCATGTTACAACCAAAAACGTAAATGTATTTTATTGGGATTTTATGTGATAGACCAACACAAATTGGCACATAATTGTGAATTGGAAGGAAAATGATAAATGGTTTTCAGCATTTTTTACAAATAGATATCTGAAAAGTGTGGCGTGCATTTGTATTCAGCCCCTTTTGCTCTGATATCCCTAACTAAAATCAGGTGGAACCAATTGCCTTCAGAAGTCACCTAATTAGTAAATAGAGTCCACCTGTGTGTAATTTAATCTCACTATAAATACAGCTGTTCTGTGAAGCCCTCAGAGGTTTGTTAGAGAACATTAGTGAACAAACAGCATCATGAAGGCCAAGGAACACACCAGACAGGTCAGGGATAAAGTTGTGAAGACGTTTTAAAGCAGGGTTAGGTTAAAAAAATATCCCAAGCTTTGAACATCTCACAGAGCACTGTTCAATCCATCATCCGAAAATGAAAAGAGTATAGCACAACTGCAAACCTACCAAGACATGGCCGTCCACCTAAACTGACAGGCCGGTCAAGGACAGTATTAATCAGAGAAACAGCTAAAAGGCCCATGATAACTCTGGAGGAGCTGCAGAGATCCACAGCTCAGGTAGGAGAATCTGTCCACAGGACAACTATTAGTCATGCACTTCACAAATCGGGCCTTTATGGAAGAGGAGCAAGAAGAAAGCCATTGTTGAAAGAAAGCCATAAAAAGTCCCATTTGCAGTTTGTGAGAAGCCATGTGGGGGAACACAGCAAACATGTGGAAGAAGTTGCTCTGGTCAGATGAGACAAAATTGAACTTCTTGGCCTAACAGCAAAAAAATGCTATGTGTGGCAGAAAACTAACACTGCACATCACCCTGAACACACCATCCCCACCGTGAAACATGGTGGTGGCAGCATCATGTTGTAGGAATGCTTTTCTTCAGCAGGGACAGGGAAGCTGGTCAGAGTTGATGGAAAGATGGATGGAGCTAAATACAGGGCAATCTTAGAAGAAAACCTGTTAGAGTCTGCAAAAGACTTGAGACTGGGACGGACGTTCACCTTCCAGCAGGACAACAACCCTAAACATACAGCCAGGGCGACAATGGAATGGTTTTGATCAAAGCATATTAATGTGTTAGAATGGCCCAGTCAAAGTCCAGACCTAAATCCAATTGAGAATCTGTGGCAAGACTTGAAAATTGTTGTTCACAGAAGCTCTCCATCCAGTTACAGAGCTTGAGCTATTTTGCAAAGAAGAATGGGCAAAAATTTCACTTTCTAGATGTGCAAAGCTGGTAGAGACATACCCAAAAAGACTTGCAGCTGTAATTGCAGCGAAAGATGGTTCTACACAGTATTAACTCAGGGGGGCTGAATACAACTGCACGCTACACTTTTCACATATTTATTTGTAAACAAAAGTTTGAAAACCATTTATCATTTTCCTTCCACTTCACAATGATGTGCCACTTTGTGTTGGTCTATCACATAAAATCCCAATAAAATACATTTACATTTTTGGTTGTAACATGAGAAAATGTGGAAAATTTCAAGGGGTATGACTACTTTTTCAAGGTACTGTATGTCAGTTTTAAAGCAAATCTGTGAAAAACATTTGAAGTCACTCTCATCTACCCCTCAACTTACCATTAGTTTGGCTCATCTCTTCTTTGATTTCTTCTACTGTCCCCAAAATAGGGTTGGCAATGTCCAACAATACTCAGTAAATGAACACTATGGGGTTGATTTACTAAAACTGGAGAGTGCAAAATCTGGTGCAGCTGTCCATGGTAGCCAATCTGTTTCTAACTTCAGCTTGTTCAATTGAGCTTTGACAAGAAAAAACTGGAAGCGGATTGTTTTCTCTGCAGAGCTGTGCTGATTCTGCACTCTCTAGTTTTAGCAACTCAACCCCTCTGTGTAACATAACCTACTACCCATGTGACAGCATAGCTCCTCCATACCTGGAAGCACCAGAATTGTGATTGATTGTTGGAAGGCATCAGAGAGGTGAGGAAGGGTCACTAAGGAAGCAGATTGATTTCTCTGCAGAGCTGCACCAGATTCTGCACTCTACAGTTTTAATAAATCAACCCCACTGTGTTATGCAACCTACTACCCATCTGACAGCACAACTCCCCCATACCTGAAAGTACCAGGATTGTGAGTGATTGTCGGCGGGCATCAGAGAGGTGAGGAAGGGTCACTAAGGAAGCAGATTAGTTTCTCTGCAGAGCTGCACCCGATTCTGCACTCTACAGTTTTAGTAAATCAATCCCTCTGTCTTACGCAAACTACTACCCATGTGACAGCACAGCTCCCCCATACCTGGAACTACCTGCGTTGTGATTGATTGTCGGTGGGTATCACAGAGGTACAGAGGAGTCACTAAGAATAATTGTCAGCACTAGAGATTTCTTAGTGCAGTTTAGGGGGAAGGGTGTTGGTTTTAAATTTTAAGGCAGGTTTGCTTTAGTGTGGGTGAGATCATGGATGTTTACCATAATCTCAATCATCAGAATAAATGTTTCCTTTTACTGCATGCAGCATCTTTACAGAATACAGCTGATGTCTGATACTGTCTGTGATCAAAGCAAACATCAATGGTTTTTCACTGCATATTAAAGAAAGTCTATGTATGACAGTTACTCCCCCCCCCAACTCAGAGTAAGCATATAAATAAATATATTCATATGTATGAAGGATACCACATTGTAAGCATTATACAGAAGTGTTTTAATTAATAAGTGGGTGTTCTTATTTCCAAAAAATGCTTAAAAACTGTTCTTACTTTGGAAAAGAGGACAGGAGAGAGGCTGACAGAGAAGTGGACAGAGGTTCTAACCCTTTTCCACTCTCTGTGCGCATTTTTAGGAAGTTTTACAGCATATCCTGTCCTACTGCAGTTAACTAGAAGACTAAAATATATGTTTGACAGAAACAGCACATTTCCAGAAACAATTTTTTTAATATTAATTAAAAAGACAGGAATACGTTACTTGAATTACTTGTAAGCATTGTTTCTTAAAGCCAGCCTATGGTCAACATAAAGCAAGCTTAAAGGAAGACTGTAATTAGAGAAATACGTAGGCTGACATTGCTACCAATGCTGATCATCTAGCCGCATTATTTCAGGATGTGGAAAAAATATGTTGATTGGATGTTTTGACTTCAGTTGTTGCATACATGTTTTAGATCCGTAAATCAGATACGACTAAAGCTGGAGACTGGCAGGCAGTTTAGGGTTGGAGGAATAAATTGTAATACTCATCTGATTCCTTGCTCTCATAGTCTTCCCTTCAGTGCTGGTCACTGGCTTTCCAATGTCATCACATACAGTGCCTTGCCATGACATTTTGTCATGCTACAACCAAAAACTTAAATGTATTTTATTGGGATTTTATGTGATAGACCAACACAAAGCGGCACATAATTGTGAAGTGGAAGGAAGATGATAAATGGTTTTCAAAATTTGTTTGCAAATAAATATCTGAAAAGTGTGGATTGCATTTGTGTTCAGCCCCCCCGAGTCAATACTTTGCAGAACCACCTTTCGCTGCAATTACAGCTGCAAATCTTTTTGGGGATGTCTCTACCAGCTTTGCACATCTAGAAAGTTACATGTTTGCCTATTCTTCTTTGCAAAATAGCTCAAGCTGTCAGATTGGATGGAGAGCATCTGTAAACAGCAATTTTCAAGTGTTGCCACAGATTCTCAATCGGATTTAGGTCTGGACTTTGACTGGGCCATTCTAACACATAAATATGCTTTGATGTGAACCAATCCATTGGAGCTCTGGCTGTATGTTTAGGGTCGTTGTCCTGCTGCAAGATGAACCTCCGCCCCAGTCTCAAGTCTTTTGCAGACTCTAACAGGTTTTCTTCTAAGATTGCCCTGTATTTAGCTCCATCCATCTTCCCATCAATTCTGACCCTGTCCCTGCTGAAGAAAAGAATCCCCACAACATGATGTTGCCACCACCATGGTGTGCTCAGGGTGATGTGCAATGTTAGTGTACGCCACACATAGCGTTTTGCTTTTAGGCCAAAAGTTCAATTTTTGGTCTCATCTGACCAGAGCACCTTCTTCCACATTTGCTGTGTCCCCCACATGGCTTCTCACAAACTTCAAACAGGACTTCTTATGGCTTTCTTTCAACAATGGCTTTCTTCTTGCCCCTCTTCCATAAAGGCCAGATTTGTGGAGTGCACAACTAATAGTTATCCTGTGGACAGATTCTCCCACCTGAGCTGTGATCTCTGCAGCTCCTCCAGAGTTACCATGGGCCTCTTGGCTGCTTCTCTGAGTAATGCTCTCTTGCCTGGCCTGTCAGTTTAGGTTGACAGCCATGTTTTGGTAAGTTTGCAGTTGTGCCATACTCTTTCCATGTTTGGATGATGGATTGAACAGTGCTCTGTGAGATGTTCAAAGCGTGGGATTTTTTATAACCTAACCCTGCTTTAAACTTCTCTACAACTTTATCCTTGACCTCTCTGGTGGAGGGCTTCACAGAATGGCTGTATTTATACTGAGATTACATTTCACACAGGTGGACTAATTTACTAATTAGGTGACTTCTGAAGGCAATTGGTTCCACTAGATTTCAGTTAGGGATATCAGAGTAAAGGGGGCTGAATAAAAATGCACAACACACTTTTCAGATATTTATTTGTAAAAAATGTTGAAAACTCGAACCCCTCTTGTATTGA